CCTCTCTCTGTATCTCTCTCTGTCTCTCTCTCTCCTGCCCGTGCTCCTCCACCATAGCCGAGGTGGGGCTCCTCCTTCCCCAGCAGCGCTGCTCCAACCAGCTCTCCAGGAGCGTGTCGCCAAACTTGCATGCAGCAAAATGAGGAAGAGCTCCTGGCTCTTCCTGGAGATATAGCGAGGCAGCAGCCTCCTTGGGCGGTGACTTCCAGGCCGCGCGGCCTCCAAGCAACCCGTACCTCCTTCCTTTCGGAGGGAAACATCATTGCAGGCTCTGATATCGTCCGCACAGGCCCTAGACTACAGGGTACTTGGACTGATACCCACCTAGACCTAGCCTACTGCTGCTGGGCCTCTAAAAATGCCAACTGTTGTCTTCTTCTGCTCGGCCTCCAGTCCCCGACGCATCTACCACTACTTGAGTAGTACCTGCCTACCTGCTACTTGAGTTTTTTCCCCGCTGCTCTAAATGTCGCAGGCCTACTCCCGCTACTTGAGAGTGTTTTCCCTGCTGCAACCCTCAAAGTCATGGCCACAGGTAAGTACTGGCCCTTTGGGGCCTCCCAAACAAACAAGAACCCTGAAGGGTCACCCACACGCTCAAGCCGACAAGCACTCAGACAGGCACGCAGACCAGCAAGCACGCCCATGCACAGACTTAGAAATCTCAGCCGAAAGCTGGAATCTCAGCAAGGCATTCATGCCAGCGGCAAAACTCAGAAATCAGCTGTGTTCTCAGTCCGTGTTTGGGCAGGTCCTTACAATAATGTAATGATATTATAATTCTTCTGAGTTTTCTAATAATAAATTAGTTATTCTAAGTTTTTGGTCCACCGTTTCTTAATTTGTATATGTCACATCCTTGCACAGGTATGCACGGTCAGTTAACGTTCTTTCTTTATTTTTATTTATAAAAAAAAAAACAGCTTGAATTTCCTTTTATGACGTGGAAGTCACGAAACATTCTTCCTGTTCCGCTTGGTCGTGCTGTGCAATTGGATGGACGCTTGGCCGGACAACGGCGGCCAGTGATAAATCTCATCGGTGGCCGTCGTTTCGTTTCGGCCTCCAAAAGAATTAGGGGCCCGACGGCGGGCTGGACACTACAGCCTTGCAGGGGTGGGGTGGATATCACGACCGGTATGGTTCCACTTTTGAACACCGTGTCCTGGCTGTAGTGGTTAAGATACCTGGCTCTTGAGGCCGAGGTCGCCGATTCGAATCCGTGCTTACACGGTGGAGGACGTCGGGCTCATGCTGGGATGGGTATGTGCAGATTCACTTAGCTGCTGTGGAAGCACCCGTTAACCGCCGGGTGAGTCCGTGTAGGTGGACAGGAGGGAATACCAGTGGTAAGGATTTTGTGCTGATTGGCGAGAGCGAGGTGGGCAAGAATTGCCGTGTCTGTGTGGTGTCGTGTGTTGAGTTGGACACTACAGCCTAGCAGGGGCGGGGTGGATATCCCGACCGGTATGGTTCCCCTTTTGAACACCGTGTCCTGGCTGTAGTGGTTAAGATACCTGGCTCTCGACGCCTAGGTCGCCGGTTTGAATCCATGCTTGCACGGTGGAGGATGTCGGGCTCATGCTGGGATCGGTAGAGCCATCCTGTAACCTCAGCTGTGGGGGAGCTAGATGTGCAGATTCACTTAGCTGCAGCAGCTGCTGCATGGGAAAAGGTAGTGGTGGTTTAGCAAGGGGGGGGGGGGGGGGGGGGGGGGGGGGGGGGGGGGGGGGGGGGGGGGGGGGGGGGGGGGGGGGGGGTTGCAAAAGACCGACTTATGTCGCTTAACACTTGTTCTTTTTCACTTGGTTGTGCTGCGTTTTCACTTGGTTGTGCTGCACACTTGGATGGAATGTGAAAACATTGGTCAGGCATTGCGAATCTATGAGATGATGTGTATGGCAGGTTGTAATGCAGATGCAGTCACACAAACACAACTCATATGTGTCTACATCACAGCTGGCATGCACAAGAAAGCCCTCCAGGTGTTTCTTGACATGATTGATGACAGGGCAGAGGCTCCGGGAGATATCAGGAGTTGGAACGCTGCGCTTACTGCTTGCGCACAGGGCCGTATGGCTTCGCAAGCGAAGTACTTGTGGTCGGAACTGCAAAGAAGAGGGTAAGTTGGTCAGGTGACCTATTCGCAGTGTTGTGGTGCACAGCGCTGCGCTCACAAAACGGAGAGTATCGGAACCGTTCTCCCTCGGCTGCCTCGACCGACTTATCATGTACCATGTCAAATGAGATCTTGTCGATGTTCTCATCAGTCATCACACAGCACCTTGGCTCGTGCGGACATTGCCCCACCATTTGATAACGTGTCCTTTTTTTTCCCTTTGTTTTTTTTTTAACAAATGCTAGGCTCCTTCTATTATGTCCTCCTCCTGAGGTGTTCAACTAATCAGTGAGTAGCAATCAGTCACAGCTCCTGTCAGTTCTCTGGCTTGTTAGGAGTTCTTTGATGGCCAGCCAAAAGGAGTCTTAAGGGCATGGCCCCGTCGGTGCTGTGTGTGGAGCATCAACTTTCCATAGAAATGACTGGGTTCGTGCTTTCTTTGCACGGACATGGCACGACCAGGGCCTGATCTGTACTTCCTGCCAGAATCCATTCGCGACCCTGCAAAGAATTGGACCCGTGATCTCAGCCAGATAGCCGGATGCCTTAACCACAGCAATCGTGATGCGGTGTTCTAAGTGGAGCGATACCGATCATGATATCCACCTCAGGTTATGACATCCACCCCACCCCTGTATGGTTTGCAATGGGGAGGGGGGGGGGGGGG